TTTGCAGGCAGGGGCTGGGGACACGGGGCTGGTGAAAACAACAGGTGCTTCACCTGTTTGTTCCCCACTTTGCTTTCTTTCAGGCGACTTGTACACCCAGGCAGCCGAGGCAGCGATGGAAGCCATGAAGGGCCGGCTGGCCAACCAGTACTACGAGAAGGCAGAAGAGGCCTGGGCCCAGATGGAGGAATAACTTGCGGGGAAAATCACTGCCAGCCAGTCAAAAGCAAAAGGGCTAGGAGGGGGAGAAAAAAAAAGAAAAAGACTTCTTTACTTATTTACAGTTTGGAAGGGGGGAGGAGTAGGGAGGGTAGGAGGGAGCAGATGTTTTTAGTGTGTTGTAAATCAACTTTTGTATTTTATTTTTTGACTTTTGAAAATGTCTTTGCTACTATCAGAGACACTGCAGCTGTCCACTAGGGCAGCATTTTGGGGGAGTGGGGATTGAAAAAATAGCCTAATGTACCAGCATATCTTTTTGAGATTCTTCTGTTGGTTTTTTGGTGTGTGTGTGTGTGTGTGTGTTTTTGTTGTTGTGGGTTTTGTTTTTTGTTTTTTCCCAGTCATGAGATGTAAGAAAATACATCTTTTCTGCCCTGGATGAAAAATACTAAGGTTTTGCTTACCAGCCTTCTTAGGCTGGGCTGAAATCTCAGGTCCAGAGAGCCTGTGTTTCCTGAGTCGGATGGGGAACAGTAGAGCTGCACGTTACCTTTCCATGGGGTGCGTATTGTCCTGACTTAGTGCAGAGCCTTACTCAGAGCATTCGGAAGTGTGTGTGGCATTGTTCGGTGGATGTGAGATTATATAATACCCAGGCTCCCTTCTGCCATGGGGGAGAGCCCGCACACTGACTGTTCACTGATTTTTTTAGTTTAATTTCCCTCCCGAAATGCAACTGACTTGTGGAATAAGCCAAATTCCGTTCTTAAGCATGGTTTCCTCAGTGGGCTTTACGAAACAGGTTTGATTGTTTCATGCACACTTTTACTACCTCTAAGTCCTCCATCAGCTAGTGCGGCAGTGGGTGCACCTCAAAGATTTTACGTGTAAGGGCAGTGGCTTGGAAAGTTGGAGCCTTTCCTCCAAGCGGGCATGCATTCTGCATCTCAGAGGCAGCATCCACAGTGTGACTGAAGTACCCCCTGTACAATGTTCCTCCATATTTTCTTAGCATCTGATGTTCTGACGCAGAATCCGCTCCCTGGCCCCCATCCTTGGCATTTTCTGCTTGAAGCTCAGCTGATTTTCTTGTAATCTGCAGCAGGATGCTTTCAGCAGCAGCCCCTTGAGATTTGTCTAAGCCATTTGAGAACGAGAGGGCAAGAACTATAAACACTCATTAACTCTTCCAGTGGTTTCCCCAGGGCCAAGCTATGGCCATCTGTGTTCAATGAGCATTCCCTTTAAAAGGAATTCAGATTTATTGTCAGTTACGATTTCAGTTGGTGTTTCCAATAGCAAAGAAAACAGACTGCTTTGATCAACCCCAGTGCTCAAGCAGCCTTTCTTTCTTAGTCTAAAAATCAAAACATAAAAATAAATAAATAAAAATCGGAACATAAAAAAAGCATAATGTAACATACAAATTGTTCTTATCTGTTAATTAAAACAGGTCCTTCAGCACCTTAGTGTTAAGTGCTGTGGAGTCATGATCCTGTGTACTCATTAGGTTCCAAAGTTCAGAGTGTGCCCTAAAGGAAGAATCAAGCAGAATCAAAATCACCCTTGAAAAATCCTTTAGAGCACCTGTAAACGACAGTGTCCTTGTTTGTTTTTGGACTCATCACAACCAGTTTCCTTAGAAGTGGGAACTGATCGCCCTTTTTCCATTTGCTCCAGATCAAGTAATTGGCTTGCCTTAAGTTTTTTGTGTGTTTTAAACCAGTGCATATAGTTAGTTTGCATTTGTTAAATGTCAGTTAGAAGCAACTTTATTGTGACTTATCTCTTCAAAGGTATCAAGCCTCATAGAATTCATGCTTTTATTGTAGCTGTTGTCAACGCAGTCTGCCTTCTCTCTCTCTGAGATTTTATTATGCAAATAATTTATGTTCCCTGACCACCTGTCTCGTTTCTTAGTTATACGCCAATGCTTTCCTCTAATACAGAGATCAGCAACTCTTTTGTAAGTCCTGTAGGCTCTGCAGGCCACATGATCTCTGTTGCAGCTACTCAGCCTCGCTGTTATAGTGCAGAAACACTCATGAACAATACCTAAACGAATGAGTGCAGCTGGTGTTCCAATAAAACTTTATTGACAAAAACAGCCTGCCTTGGGGTATAGTTAGCTGACCGCTGCTTTAATCCTAAGAGCTACTGTACTAAACCCTGAGGGCAAGAGTATCTCAATTTTTTTGGTCTTCAGTGCTTAAAAACAATGCCTTGGCACAGAGTAGGCACTCAAATTCATAAACAGTGAGAACCAGCACTCTTTGTGACTCTAGTTCCTCCATCCAATTAATGATTCATTGTGTATCGAGCAGTCACCACTCACCCACATGGCCTCAGTGTCAGCAGGCAGTCCCCGTCTCCTGCAGGAGGCTGGGATGGCCTGGATAGCTAAGCAAATGCTTCTGTAAGGACCACAGAGCAAAATGATCTATAAGATACTGAGATTCTTCTGAGTCAGCAGAACCTCAAAAGCTAGTTCTGGGCCTTCTAAACCTGGTTAGGGCATCTTTTTCCTCCACAAATGCTGGGTGTGTTACAAAGAAAACCAAAAAGCAACAAACAAACAAAAACCCCCAGGATGTTCCAGTCCAACTGGGAAGACATCAGAGACAATCTTCAAATGCAAGAAGCAGATGAGGGTCCAGGAGATTAGCAGAGTTGAAGATATAATTGGTACCTTCAGTCACAGATGGGGAATCCAAGGTTCTGAAAGGGAGACTCTTTCCAAGTACCCTGCTGGTTAGAGGCAAAGCTGGAGCTAGGATTTGAGAGTTGCTCTTACTTAGAGGATCCTAGGAATAAAATTTAAAGTTAACTGGAGTGTAATATCTCTCAATTTTGTTATAGATTTTTTTTTAAAGCAGGCTTTATGGATGTAAATAGGAAAAAAAAAATTCCTAACCCCGGTGTGCCTGAACATCCTCGGCCCCTCTTCCTCACCTGAGGCTCTGTGGGAATTTATCATCAGATGCAACCCTGATGAACCAAACCAGGTAGTCTATGGTTGTTGCTATTTTCGTGGCTTCTGACTTCCTTTCCTTTCGTCCCAGCACATTTGTCTTCAGTACTAGCCATGTTTTACAAATCAACAAATGTTTACACAAGTATATGCAGCTTGTATGGGGGGGGAAGGTGACAAAATATGCATATTCTCTAGATTTGTGCCTGTTACTTATCTAGTCTCTGAGGTAACCATTTAACCTAGAGGTGGACACTGGGTGGGACCCAGAGAATGGCTTGCTTTATAGATTTATTTTTGCATATGTATTAAGTTCCATTTTGCCTTTCCAAATAAGGTGGGGTTTTTTTTTCTTTCTTTCCAGTCTCAAATTCACATGTTTCCTGATAACACACAGTGAGGTTGCTGGGTGGAGGCAGGCGAATTAGAGGGCTCAGCCCCACCTGAAAGAGGCAGCCAAGATTCAGCTCGGAATGGTGATCACCTTGGGGAGTGTGGGCCCAATGCTGCCCCATTTTCTGATTTTTCAAGATGCTGAAAATTGGATTTTTTAATGCAAAATTTCTTAATTTTTAACATTTCTAGTACTTATTTTAAAAAACCCTTCTAGATATGGTGCATATGTTATCTATTTGCTTTAAATAAAGGATGTGCACCTGTCTTTTTTCTTCTTTTCTCATGTATTGAACAATAATCTTTACTGTTAAGAGTTGTCATCCGTTTCAAAGCAGATAGTATAAGGGGTAGGATATAGCTTAAGTGGTAGAGTGCATGCTTAGCATGTACAAGGTCCTGAGTTCAATCCCCAGTACCTCCCCCCAAATAAGTAAACCTAATTACCACCCCCCAAAAAGAAAATAATGCATGTTAAAGATGCTTTATGATCTAAAGCTTAAGAAAATTTTGGTTACTGGTTCCAAGGTGATGGCCTTTTATTTTTAAGAAATTCAAAGGAGAATCAGTATAACTGCATGGTATACTGAACACACATATTTAGGTCCATTTACTCCTAGGTCTACACTAAAATGACAAGAAAGATTTTCCTAATGGCATAAAGCCATGAGGATGAAGAGGAAGAGGTATCAATAGCAACAAAGTTTTGGGTGCTGGAAAGCAGGCGAACTGTGATTGAATCAGCAGACCTAAGAAGGCTGGATCCTAGGTCAACAATAGGAAAGTCTGAGAATCCAATTTTCCCCATCAAAGAACCCTCAAAAGGCTGAGGGATTGGCACAAGGAATCTCTGGAAGGAGGAGTGAAATGAGGCTAAAAATGTAGGTTCCATTGAAGGACATCAGCCCACTAGCTCCACTTAACTGCCCTGTGTATCCAGCCAGCTGCCCTGCGGAAGCCTGGGACGCCAGGTGCAGTAGAGAGTGAGGCTACTCTATTGAAAGGAGGGTTAGTGGCAGTTTCTGTGTTGGAGTCTCCACCAGCCTTTTCCCCTGTCCTCCCAGGAACTGGCAGCTGATTGTCCTTCCTGGGAGAATGCAGGCAATTGGAGAATCTAGAGAATCTGACCAGCCTAAGATGAAAGACAAAAGGTACTTCCCCTAATGGAACAGGCTGGCCAGAGCACCTCACAAAAAAAAAAGCCTCAGCCACCAGGTCCCAACCATGTGCATAGAAATTCCCAGGCAACGTATTAGAGCCTCGTTCTTAAACTTGGTCAGCCAAAGATCCACAGGAAGGCATTCCATGTAACAGACAGAGTGAACTAACAGGAGAAAGCATCTTGGAGGAAACAATTGGCTGGGAGAAGAAAACTTTAAATAAACAAAAAGCTATCAATATCTTTATATAAAATAATTGCATCCATGAAAGAACCAGATGTGATTCTAAGAATTTACACAGCAAAGAGCGCTTGTAAATTGACTATACCCTTATAAAAATGAGTAACTTAATAGAATGATTGGAAAGTGAAGTTGAGGAAATCCCCCAGGAAATGGAACAACAACAACAAGAAGTTGAAAAATAGGAGAGGAAATTCTCCTAGGAACCAGTGGAGCAGGCAAACTTGACTGCACAACTGACCCACAGTGGAGTTACAACTGTTAACCAGTTTTGCTTTGCAGAGAAATGAGCTAAGAACAGCCTAAGATTGTGTATGTATAGCTTTTTAATGATCTTTCCTTAGCCTTTTAAAATTTGGGACCAGAATTTTAAGATCTTAGTTTGATAGTCAAAGTTTTCCTATAGCCTTTTAATAAAAATTGAACTTGCCTGTAGATAGATCATTTTTACTAAATTATATTCATCATATACTGATTAAAATGTAAAGAAA